ATTTGATATTTCATATTTTCTCTTAAATACTCATTTGTTTCAGCTGCATATAGTTTAGTCCATATCTTGTCAAGCTACATATAATTAATGAAGTTTAAAAAACTTCTGAGTGTCTAGTAACTTAATCTGTTCTGCCTATTCATTAAACATTTTTTATGGAAACATTTGAACTTGAGTGATGAGAGAACTTTGAGCAGCTTTCCAGCCTAAGAATGCTTTCTGGAAACTTTCCCAGCTAAATTGGTCATGAAAACAGATACGGAATTTATCTGAAAAGGACCATGTAAATCATAGTTAACAATCTTGCTATCCTACTTGGCCACCCAGGCTAGTGCAGCACTTTCAGAAATACTTTACATTTCTCAAAAAGATACATAGCTCTGCATTCACAGAAATTACAGTTTGGGTTTGTTTTGCTGAACTTTTCCTAATATACCACCTACCATTACTATTGTAATGTTAGAGATGAAACAAAATATTCAGAAAATATCTAAAGAGTAAAATACTTGGAGAAGTAAAATAGGAGAAATAAAATGCAAAAAACATTATAAAAGTAGCAACAGTATTACAAAAAGTGTATGAAAGAATTAAAACATGTATTATATGTATAAATATGCATAAATACAGTTGAAAGGAAATTCTTCCTACAGATACATGGTAAAATAGCTAAAACATATTAGCTCCTTTAAATACTAGTCAGTGTGTATTACATGCTACTGTATTAGGCAAAAAGAAATCTCAGGGCAGCTTTTCCAAAACAGAAAAATGACATAACACAAGTTCTAGAACCGGCCAAAAAAGGTATCTTTTATTATTACCTAAGTGTGGCAGGAAAAGCACTGCCTTAGAAGTTGAAGAGATGGATTCTTCATCCAGGTGACATTTTTGTGGATGACATCATTTTCTCCATCTGTAGAGATTTGTTCTGAATTATGTATGTCTCAGGGTTTGGTGGGGTTTTTTTGTTTGTTTGTTTGTTTTTTAATTGCGTAAAGTTACTCAAGGTTTTTATAAAGATTACATAAATAACGTATATGCATATAATAAGGAATTCTATATCACTGTTCAGTAATGGTGATAATTAATATGTAATTTGAGATAAATACACATTTGTAGTTTTTCAGTAATGGTTCGTGATATTTAATTGTAAAACAGCTTAAGTGCAAGTGATTTCAGTGTAGTCTGGCAACACTGATTGACATAAGTCTGAAGATAACTCCTAAAAAAGATAATTTCAGTGAAAACAGTTTTACTAATTACAAAATGAATGGGACTTAATAGAGATGAGTGAAGTTCTAAAAGATGATAATTAAAAAGCTTAAATTGGTCTTGATGCTAACCTAAAATACTTGAACCTTAAGCCCAGTTAAATTTGTTGATATTTCTAGCATTGGCATGGTCCTTATGTTCTCAGAACTCATTATTATGTACTAGGTCATCAGCTTCTTTGGGACTCAGTTGTAGTATTCTTCTGTTTTACAGCCTTCCTATTCCTATATATCTTATCTTGATCCCTCACCTCATGAGTGAAAGCCATTTCCAGTTTGATCCTGAGATTTTTTTTTCCCCTGGATTTTAAACTGTCGTAGATGGTCTTTATGGTTTTAGAATTCCTCAGTATGAACCCAATATTGACAAATCAACCAGATTTCATTTCCTTGGAACTTGAATTTCTTACCTCAGTTTCTATCAACATGAGAAGCCTACTTATTTCTTAGAACTTAAAAGCTATCATTCCTTTTGGACTAACCACAAAATTTTTTATTTCCTGTCTGAGCAGTGTCTCAACTGTTGAGTGATCTCATGAATAAGGTCATTGATCTCAAGTTGTATCTCTCATTAAACCATTTCTGGTTTGGGTTACCCTATCTTCCTTTCTGTAGTTTTTCTTGCTGGCTTATGACTACAGTATCTTAATTGTTCTTAAAATAGTCTAAATATGAAAATTATATGCTGTGTTTATAACAGAAGCAAGAAGAGGGCAACAAAAGGAAACAGTCGTCAAGAAATAGAATAAATATTAAAGCAGACACAAAAATCCAATATAGCAATCAAGGTTATTTAATATAAAAGAATAGCTTTGAGTGCCTTAGTCCCAAGTATATCAGGTCTTAAAATATTGCAATAACCAATGTTTAATAAAGCCTTTAAGTCAGTGGTTCTTTACTATATATATAGTATAGTATAGTTCTTTACTATATATATAGTATAGTAGAGTTCTTTACTATATATATATCATCTTTAAAGAAGACATAAGAGATTCTGATTGTGTTTGATGTAGAACTCAGTACACTATATCTCTGTAAATTTCTTTAGTAATTCTCATAAATATCCTTGATTAAAAACTATTGTTCTGAAATTGAAATAGCAAGAAAAGATAAAATTATATTCAGTAAGTTTACGACTACAGGGATATTTATATAATCAGTATAATCCATTCATTAAGGAAAAAAAAACACTATAAAAATCAGCAAAAGATGAGCAGAAAGTAGATGAAAGAAGAAATACAAATGACTATTAACAGTGCGAAAATGTATTTAACCTCACTACTAGATGAAGAAATGTTTTTTCCCAAGCATATCACCAAAACTAAAAAGATTTATAAGCCTTAATTTGATCTGTGTTTGTAGAAACAGGCACTCAAGTTCATTGCTGGTAGGACTATGTACAAATCTGGAGGGCACTTTGGCAATATGTATCAAAGTTTTAAATGTTTTTATTATCTGATCAGTAATTTTATCCTAGGAATTATTCTAAAGAAATTGGAAAATATCAGATTGCAAAACGTTGACAATGTAACCTACATGGTTAGGTCAGCATTTAAAAAAAAAGTCTGAAAGCCTATATAATATAATGAAATAACAGCAGTAGTTTTACCTGAAAGGTACAACTACAGATAATTATTTTTTATAATGTCAGTATTTTAGTGTCATTGTGGGTGGTTTTGGTACACAGTAGAGATTGTGCAGAAGTTTGTCTTTAAAAAAATTTAAACATCCCTGGGATTGAAGAGATGCAATAAGGAGTTGGTTACTTTCTGGACTGACTAAAGCTGCTTATTGATTTCAGTCAGTGAGGTCTGAAGCTCCTGATTTTTCTCATTGCCCTGACAACCAGGTTGAGTCCCTTTAATGAATCAGTAAAAGTTTATACAGGAATCTCATTATACACTCAGGGAAGTCTATAGTAACCATATGATTATATCTAATTACTTTAACTATTTTGTTAGGGTTTTTTTTTTATATATATATATATTTTGCTGCAGTTTAAGTTACTAAAGAGCATACATATTTCATATAAAGAAGGCTAATGCTGTTTTGATTTTGGGGGGAAAAGATAGAGAACCTCAAATAACCGAAGAACTATTAAAATCTATTAAAAATTTAACTACTGTTAAGTAGTGAAATACAAGATAAATGTACAGAAAGGCCTTATATGAAGAAAACTAACAAAAAGACTTAAACCTACAGGTTCTTTTCACATGTGACTGTGTATAAGACAGATTGTATCCACTATAAGTTTTTTCCGGATTCATTTACAGGTTTAATTTCAGTCAGAATCTCATTAAGATTTTTCTTTT